CCTGTACAGTCCCTCTCCACATGGAACAGGGCAGACCTATGTAACCAGTAGGGCATTGCAGAAATGATGGAGTGTGACTCCTAGTTGTAAAAGACATGGTCACTTCCACCTCTCTCCCTGCCCCATCAGTCACTGTGGGGGAAGCTGGCTGCCATGTCGTGGGGACACTCAGGAAGTCTTATGGAGCTGAAAAACCGAGTTGTCCTCCTGCCAACAGCCAACACGCCAGCCATGTGAGCAAGCCAACCCTGGCCTCCAGCCCCAGTTAAACCTTCAGAAGTTTACAGCCCAGTCGGTGTTGTGACCCAGCTAAGTTGCTCCCAAATTCCTGACCCACAGACACTGTGAGAGATGATAAATATACACTGTTGTTTTAAAGAGTGAAGTTATTAAATAACGTTGTCACCCATGTTTTATAGATGAGGAAATTGAGGCCCAGAGCGTTCAAATGACTTGTCTCAAGTCATACAGTTACAAGTAACTAAAATCCCAGCAGTTTTGGTCTGTATAAAGTTTATGTAATGAATTAGAATTCTTCTCTCACAGCAAAGAAGACGAGGAGGAGAGAGTGGGAGGGTGAGACATACAGAGAGACAGTGACAAAGAGAAATTGGCAGCTGGTTCAGAGTACAGCATGAAGGACTTGGGCTAGACTTCTGCAAAGTGAAAGTAGTGAATGGTGGGAGAGCTCCACTGCCCTTGAAGCTTAGCCGTGATTGGCTCAGGACCTCAGTCTCTGACCCTGCCTGGGCATGTGACATACCCTTGGGTACCTGGGGGTGGGGTTCTGCTGCCTCTGAGCAGCCCGTCCTCTGGGGTTCTTATCACACTGTGTTGTCACAGTGTGTCCTCAGACCAGCGATCTGAAGGGCTGTGACGGGGTCTTGTTAATCTGTGCTGCTTGCCTAGTGCAAGGTCGGAAGGGGTAGGCTGGGGGAGGTGTATGCGGAAGCCCCTGGGGCCCTGGCCCTGGCCCTGGCCCTGGCCTTGGCAAGAATTCATATGGTCACACTTCCCTTTAACAAGTCATCACTGGGGACAAGACAAGAATCAGGATGACCCGGTTTCTGGCTTGAGGGGCACCCCATTGGATGGGGGGGTTCTGTGGCCACACCTCGGTGTGGTTAAAGAGATTGGGATACAGTGTTGTGGGAGCCCAGGGGAAGGGGCATGACCTCTCAGGAGGCTGCAAGTCTTCCCAGAGGCGGACACCTTTGAACTGAGGCCCGAAGGATGACTAGAAGTCAGCCAGTGCAAGAGTGTTCTAGGCAGAGGGCAGTCTGGCAGAGGCCTGAAGCTTCCATCCTCTGGGGACAGGACAAGGGAGCAGGGTGTGCATGGGGTGGGCTATGGGGCCTCTGGTGGCTCTGGGGCAGGATGTGGAGGCTTACTTAGGTGGGGCAGGTGTCATGCTGACAGCAGGTAGAATGTCACCTGTTCCTGTTTCATGGGGAATTCATTGTACTTGGGTTGGGTGAGGGTTTCCTTTGGAAACCCAGGAATGGGCAAGGCCCGTATGCTGGTGTTAGCCCAGGAGGGAGAGAGAGGACAGGTGCGGACAAGATGTCCCCTGCGGAAGCAGAAGCTGAACACGGACCTCAGTGTCCGTTTGGTGTCTGGTGTGCGCCACGGGCTGGGCTTCTTCGTTTGCCCCTCACTGGAATTAAACAACTTATGTGCCCTTAGAAATTCCCATTTCTGCCATGTAGGTTTGAATGCTGGCTTTGCCATTTACTGGCCGTGTGACCTCCCCACTCCTCAGTGAGCTATTTGTGAAACGCGGAGAACATCACCCCTGCCTCATGGGGCTGTGGTAGGGACTGAGCGGGATGACGCACGTAAAGCCCTTAGGTAGTGCCTGACCACCAGCAAGCGTACAGTGAGTATTCACTATTGTTTTTCAAGTATTTAAACATCGTTGATCTAATACGTGTTGTATGTCCAGCCTTGTATTTGTCCTCTGAATCTAAAGATGATAAGACATAATCATCCTGGGGGCACAGAAACCTTCAGTAAAAGTGGGAACACACCTTGGTAAAATGTGGCCTGTGCCAGAGACCCAGAAATTCGGGAGAGCTGGTTCCTGACCTCAGCTCAAGACTGACTAAGGAGAGAAAAATGTGGCCCAGATTGGGTGGGGGCTGAGCGGAGCCCAGAGAACCTCTGCCCAGGGGACAAGGAGTTGCCCATTCTGGCAACTGGACGTATGTGTGACAAGACCCCTTTAGGCGGGAGGTCAAGGAATGCCTGGGCTCGATCTATGTTCTTTGAGTGTTGAGAAGTCATCAGGGTGTTTTTGAACGGGGCTTTATGTTTGAATAATAGCAATATAACAGTTACTGTGCACCTACTGTATACAGCATGCTGTTCATACATAATCTCATGTAACAATATAATGTTCACAAAACCCTGTGAGGTGAATATTGTCGCCATTCCCACTTTACAGGGGGAGAACCTGAGCTGCTGCAGTTAAGCGAGTTGCCCAAGGTGACAGAGCGAGGAAGGGGAGGAACAGACTCACGCCCAGGCCGTCTAACACGGAGCCCGTGCTCTCAGTCTCTCTGTCTTGCGGCCTCTGAACTTCAGTCGACATAATTCTCTTAAAACTAGAATGAACTTTGCAGATACCCCAACTCCCCCATTTCGCAGATGGGAAATTGAGGTTCAGAGATGGGCGCTAACTTTCCTAAGACCACTGAGTGAAAAGGGAGGGGCTGAGCTGGGGAGGTCAATCTGGTCTGCAGGAGGGCCTCCGGCCTGGGCTCCACAGTCCCGGGCGTCGCGCTGTCACCACAGGCATCGCTGTGCTTAGAAGAAAATCCAGACTTCACTGGGGCCTGTACAGCCCTCGGGTGATCGGGGCCTTGCCGGCTCCACTGACCCCACCTGGTCACCACCCTCTCTCGTTACCAGGCTCCAGCTCACCTCAAGGCCTCTGCACTGCTGTTCCCTCTGACAGGAATGCCTTTCTACCTGATTTTCGCCTGATGGGAGCTGTCTTGGTCTGTTTGGATGGCTTATGAACAACAGAAATTTATTATAATTCTCATAGGTCTGGAGGCTAGAAAGTCCAAGAGGAAGGTGCCTGCAGATTTGGCGTCCAGCGAGAGCCTGCTTCCTTGTTTGGAGGAAACCTTCTCACTGCATCCTCACGTGGAAGGGGCCACGATCTCTCTGGGGTCTCTCTTACAAAAGCACTAATCCCATTCACGTCCTAGTTTCCTCCCACAGGCCCCACCTCCAAATACCCTCACACTGAGAATTAGGTTCCACCGTATACATTTTGGGAGGACACAAACATTCCATCTACGACAGGCTCCTTCTTGTCATTCAGTGAAATGTCACCTCCTCAGAGAGGCCTTCCCTAGTCACCTCTCTAAATTTACCTACCATCACTGGCACATAACCATGATTTATTTTTTCCATAGCAGTTATGTTCATTTGAATTTTTTGTTTGTCTTCTTGCTTTCATGTCTGCTTCTCCCAACTAAAGTGTCAGCTACAGGAGAACAAGGAAAGACCTCATCTATTTCTACACTTTGTCTCAGGCCTCAGACAACGCCTGCCGTACAGTAGGTGTTGCATAAGTTTTTGTTGAAAGTAAGCCTGTATTTCATTGTATGTCTGTTGACAGTCAATCTTCCACCAGTCAGGGACCTCACGGGGGCTGGTACCATGCCTGGTTGACCTTGGCACCACTTCTAGGCCCAAGACAGGGCTGGCACTGAGTAGGGCTGGCACCGAGTATGGCTGCAATGTGTTTATTGTATGACTGTATGAGTAAGGGTAGAAGGGTCAATGGCAGGAGTGCCTGCTAGGCTCTCCACGGGGTGGCCACAGCCATTGCCAAGGGGCTACCCGATACGGGCACTATCAATAATAGGGCTCAAAAGCCTGCTGATGAAACAGTGGCTTCCAAGCCTGGGACTAACAGCTCCTGAAGCCCCTTATTCTGCCCCTCTGCAATGAAAATAAGAGAGTAAGAGGGGAGGGGATGGTGGGCCTACAGTGGGCTTAGGCACCTGTGAGTCTCTCTTCTAGTGGCCAGTGCCCTCCAACCTCATTGTCCAAAGAAGGTTATGTGGGTTGGGCCTTGCTAACCAGCAGTCACCAAAACTCTAGCCCTGGGTCTGCTCTCTGCACTCTGGCAGGGTGTGGTGGGCTGTGACTTTCCAGAGGAGGGGCCTTCTCATTCATGCAGAGGCCAGCAGCAGTGGCAGGGGCCCTGGGTGTGCGTCCCCTATGGGAAGAAATGACACATCCCTTCTGTGGGGCCCCACAGTCTCTGCCCTTCTCCATCACAGCAAGGATGGTGTTGTCCCTTCTGATTGTCTGCCTTCTGTCCCACCCCCTGGAGAATGTAGAGTGAAGATGAGTAAATAAAGTCTGTGCATCAGGCCTAAGCCACTGCCCCACATCTTTGTCCACGGTCACATGTGTAGCATACACAGATGTATATGGACACATTAACCAGCTACATGACTGTCTAATATCCGGTTGGAGCCAGTGGGGGCTGCAGAGATCCAGTCCCGCTCCCCTACCTTCTTCCTGATCCTGCACATCCTGGTACCCAAACTCCTATCCACCACCACCTCAGACCCGTGTGCACACTGCACAGACCCGTGCACCCAGGAACATCATTCCCCTTCCTCCTAGGTCCACTCCTAGGCTTCCCTCAGCCTCCCATCACAGTCTGTCACCTCCTCCAGGAAGCCTGTGCTGCCTCGCCTGGCTCACCTAGCGTCTGCAGCGCCCAGCACCACGGCCGGATTAGGGTCACGAGAGTCTGCTGAGAGAGGACTTGACCAGGGACGGGAGGGAGGAGGAGAGGTGGCAGCAAGAAAGGAGCCTGGGGCGGAGGCAGCAGCGGGAGGGGGCGCGCGCCGACGGCCGCAGCCCAGGGCCGGGGCCGCGCGCCCAGCCTGAGCCCGCCCCGCCGCCGAGCGTCACGGAACCTGCTTGAAATGCAGCGGAGGAGCCGGGGCGGGCGGCGGCGGCGGCAGCGGCGGGGGCAGCGGCAGCCCCGGAGCCGCGGCAAGGACTCGGCGGGCTGACGCGCAGCGGCGGCGGCGGCAGCGACACCGAGTGCGTAGGGCGCGGCGGCCGGAGCCGGGGGCCCGCCATGGGCCGCCCCGAGCGGGGCGCGCTCCGGCCGCTGGCGCTGCTGCTGCTGCTGCTGCTGCTCCGACCCCAGCATCTTGCGGCGGCAGCGGATCCACTGCACGGTAGCCAAGGTGCGTGCGGCCGGTCCCCGGCTGGGCTACGCGCTGCCGTAGCCGCCAACAAAGCGCGGCCCGGAGGCCAAGAGCTGGATTGCACTGCCCCCCACCCCCAGCCGGGTGCTGGCAGAGGCACCCGGTGGGATAGGTACCTTCGGACCCATCTATCCTTTCATCTCCGCCCCCCCCCCCGCGCCCCCGCGGCTCCCTGTGTTGTGGGCTCTGCCCTCCTGCACCTGCTTTTGGGGGATGGGGGCGGTGGGGCCGGGCTGGTCGGGAACTTTGCTGGGGTGGGGGGGTGGTCATAGATGGTTTCAGATGGGCTGTGTGATTCTGGTCGTTGACACGCGCGCTCCGTGGCGGCGGCGAGGGGAGCCAGGCGACTTCCCCGCCTGACAATGCGTTTCCGGGGACCCCCTTAGCGCTGCCGAGACAGAGAGGCTGCGTGCAAGAGGAGGGATGTGCCCGCAACGCCCAGAGAGTGCTTGTGTCACGGCGTATTTCGGGGCTCCCTGTATCACGGGGCTCTCCTGGGGCTGTGTTTGCGTGGATTTCTGACTATGGGCCGAGTGTGCGGGGGAGTGTGACTGAATGGGGGGTATGCCACTAAGTCGTGTGACACCGACTGTGTGTGCCTGGCCTTATCGTGCCACGGAACTGCCCTCCATCCCAGGAACCGTCCTCCCCTCCATCGGATCAAGGGTGCTCGATGTCCCCGGGGTCGCTGCATCACCCCTTTTCCTTTACCTTAGGAGACCCCTGCCCGCTGCCAGGACTGCTTGGTCTGCGGATCCGGCTAACGCCCCCTTCCCCCCCTCCCCTCCCCCCCCCGCACAGGGCTGGTCAAGGAATGCGAAGAGAACCAGTTCCGGTGCCAGAACGGGCGCTGCATCCCCTCTGTGTGGAGATGCGATGAGGACGATGACTGCTTGGACAACAGCGACGAGAACGACTGCCGTAAGTGGCCAGCGGGGGAGGGAGGGAACGGTAGGAGGCGCCATGCTTAGCGCGCACGTGGCGGCATCTACCACCGGGCCGCCTGCGTGGACCTCACCCCGACCCCCGAAGCCTTCCGGAGACCGTCTCCATCGAGAGTGGGTGGGTTTTAGCATTAACGTGGGAGCTGGACTGCAGGCGGGTCCTAATGGGTCCGGGGACTAAGCCCGGGGCGTTGTGGCTCAGGAGGAGGGCTCACCCCACCCGGTTGCTGGGCGGGAACTGGGGATGGGGACGCGACTGTTCCTGCACTCGTCTAGTTTCCTGTGATCCAGCCCTCCCGGACTGCAGCCTATGCTGCACTAAATGCGCGGGGATAACAAAGTTCCACTCACCCCCGGACCTCGCTGCACTACTTTTCCTGCTCGGGTTTTTTTTTTTTTTTTCTTTTTTTTTGTGAATGAATGGGCTCCCCGGGGCCCCTGATTGGCTAGACCAGGACCACCCCATCGGCCCCCGTGGCCGGAGCGGCCAATCCCGGTGCGGGCGCGTGTGCAGTTTTCGGGCGCAGTGGGCACAGGGGCCTTGCCCTGGTCCCACCCCGGCCACACCCCTGCGCGCATCCTGCCGGTAGTAGGTGCTGGCGGGGCGCGGGAACTGACGCCGGGAGTTTTTCTGCCTAGTCACGGTGAAGCCTTTTTGTGCCACCCTAGTTAGCCGACCTGGATCTCCAGCCGGACCCACTGGGGCGTGAGTCCTGGGGCAGACCAGGAAGGAGGGAACCAGGAGGAGGAGTTCGTTTCCTGAAACTGACCGAGGATCCCGAGGCAGCGTGTGATCCCCCGGCAGTGTGTTGGTTGCAGGCAGTCTTTTCTGAGTGTGGTGTTTTCCATCCTGGAGCGACTGCTTTGGAAGTACTTAGTGGGGTGCGCGCGGGGATGTCTGTGGGACCGGAAGTGAGTTAGCAGACAGTTGCCACGGTGGAGTGTAGTTCCAGGAACAGAACAGCAGGACTTTTAGAAACATAGATTCAGACGGTCATTCATTCTCCGTTTGTTTTAGGGTGCCTGCTGTGTGCAGACACTGGGGCACTTGGAGGACAGGCCCACCCCAAGCCAGAGAGAACAGGGTCTGCTGCGGGAGGGGTGTAATGAGAAAGTCAAACCCATAGCTTGACACAGTGGCAGGTGTTGGGGTGGGGTAGAGGAACACCTGGAATGACACTGACTTGAGTCAAGTTTTTCTGTTTTGTTTTTTATTTATTTTTATTTTCAAACTATTTTATTTTATATTTAAGATTTTACTTATTTTTTAGACATGGGGAAGGGAGGGAGAAAGACATCCATGTGTGGTTGCCTCTCGTGTGCCCGGCACTGCGGACCTGGCCCACAACCCAGGCATGTGCCCTGACTGGGAATTGAAATGGCCACCCTTTGGTTCTCAGGCCCGAGCCCAATCCACTGAGCCACACCAGCCAGGGCTGTTTTGTTTTTTAAACTGGGATTGCCAGTCAGCCTCCGAGTTCACTTTCTCAGAGTAGGCTCTGTGACTGGGGCACATCTTTTCCTATTCCCTGTTTCCTCACCTGACCACTTGGGCTAACGATTCCTGCTTTGGTTTAGAGGACCAGTTCTAGTAACATAATCAGAAGTAATGAGACTAGCACGGGCTGTTGTTAGCTAGGTGTCCACTACTGTGGTTGTACTTATATAAACTCCCTTCATCTTTGGGGTACTACTATACTACTGTTCTACAGACTAAACCAGCTGAGGCCCTGAGAGATGAAGTTACTTGCCCCACAGCTATTGAGTTGCTAAGTAGAAGCTTGAATTTAAGCATCTGACTCCTGGGTTCTGAGCCTAATCATGATGACCATTCGCCAGCGCTATTGAAGTTACGAATATGGCTGAGCTGAGGTAAAATATTATAAATGAGACTGAGTCTCATCACAGGAAGTTGTTCTGGTGATTCCCTTATAGCAGGAGTGCTGAGGATGTGGCAGGGAAATAAAAATTGCGTTTCTGGGCTAGTTTTAACTTATCTCCCTGATTCTTTATAATAGCTGTCTTTCGAGAGTGGCTGTGAAGAGCATTTTTCTCATCATCCTGTTTGTAGATAAGGGTTCTGGCTCAGAAAAGTTGGGTGATTTGCCCAAGGTCACACAGCAAAGAATGACAGAACTTGGTCAGGATGCCCACCTCCCTCCCAGTGCAGGGGCACTGTTTGGGGCAGTGGGGAGTGTGGCATGGAAGGACCTAAACTGGTGATCCACAAATGTTGACCCTGTTGCTCTTTATCTCTGTGTGAAGCTCTGGGGGAGATGAAGGTGTGAAGCAGGGGGAGGCTGGGTGACCCCAGCTGGGACTGTGGGGGCTCTGACTGCCAGTCTGGGTTTCTGTTTTTGCTTCTCTGAGATGGGGTGGAATCATAGGCAGAGAGTAAATAAAAACAAATGACATTGACAGCTTGGAGTGGGAGGGGTGGGGGCTCTGCTGTGAGGACCACGTGTCAGCTCCACACACTGTCTTCTCTGAGCTTGTTTCCTCCCGATCTGCCAAATGGGGGCAGCTGTTCCCCCATCATAGGCTGTACTCATAGGGAGTCTTCGCACAGGGCTGGCACAGAGAAGGGAATGGACGAGTGTCCACGCCTCCGTGGTCTTTAGAAAGGGGCCTCTGGGAGCCACAGAGAGAAATCTTGAAGAGAGAGGGTGGGGACTTTGGGTGGCTATGTTGGGCCAGTTGTTCGAAAATGATCTTTCTTCACGCCTTCCTTCCTCATCTGGAGAATTCCCCCCAGTTGTGGGCCACCTGCCCAAACCGCATTGCTTTGAACTCTCCTCCCTTCAAGGCTGTTGGCTTCTCCCTGAGCAGCCTTCCTACCTTATATCTGACTCCTTTCTCTGGCATTCCAACCCTCCGACTCCCTGAGAGCTGCCCCACCTCTGTACCTTTCCACCTGCAAAATGGGGGTTGCAGTGTGTAAGGGAAGTCTGTGTGAGGCAAACTGAGTTCCGGGTCCCAGGGAGGCCACGACGTAGCCTGTGGGTACCAAGAGCTGATGGAGGCTGGAGGGAGGGACCTTGCATGTTGAGCTAGCACAGGAAGGCTTCCTAGAGGAGACAGCTAGACCAGGCCTTGAGAGATGGTAACTAGTACCAGTCCCTCAGGGCTTACCATTTAAAAATAGGTAGTATAGTCCCCATATTATAGCGGAGGAAACTGGGGCTCAGAGAGGTGAAATGACTACCCCAAAGTCACAGAACCCCCCCAGAGCTGGGGCCAGCACTCAAACTAAGGCCTAAATCCTGATACTCAGCCACAGCAGGTGGGACCTGGTGCTCTGGAGATATGGGACAAAACTGGCAGGATGGGGAGAGGAAAGGCTCATGGGGCTTCGGTTTCCAGCTCAAAGGGCCTTCAAAGTGGAGGAAGGCCAGGCCCAAGGAAGCCCCAGGGTAGCCCAGCCAGGGGAAGTTGGGTGGGTCCCTGGCTGTGGACCTGGGTCACGTAGGCCAGCTGGTCCCTTGGCCTCACTTTCCTGTTGCTCCTCAGCATCTGGGCCAGGGATGGGGCTCTGGTCTCTGGCCAGCCCTTCGCTCCCAGAGTGACAACAATGAACGCCTGCTGTGCACCAGGCGTTGTGCTGAGATTCCACGGGCGTCACCTCATGCTTCTCGATTCTAGGAAATGGGCAGCTCTGTGAAGTAACTGCATTATTCCCATTTTACAAAAGCACGGAGGAGTTAAGTAACCAGCCCAAGGGTATATGATCTTTAAGTGAAATTGCTGGGGAGTGAATGCAGGCACCGAGCTCTGGAACCTGTGCTGTCTCAAGCACTAGCTGGTGACCTTGGATCTGTTTTCCCATCTTGAGATAACATCAAACCCTCCCCTGTCCCTCAACTCTGGAAAGACTCTGTGTTTCTCTTTGTGGATGGGCTGAGGGCCTGGGCATGTGGTGGACTGGTTCTGTGCTCAGATCCCTCTACCTTGTCCTGGCTTCTTTGGGCTGCCTTGTTCTCCCAGCCCCCATCACCCCTCCATCCCAGGCTTAATAAAGAGTGGCTGCCGTGAGGTCTCCCATGGCTGAGAGTTCATTAGCTGGGCAAGGCCAGGCTGCGGGAACACTGAGGCCTGCTGGGAAGCAGCCTTGTAAATAATTAAAGCTCTGTCACAGCTCCCAGCTGGGCTGCGGCCTGCGTCTGCCCCTCGGTGTGCCGCCTAGCCACGGCCCATTCTCACAGCCCTGACACCAGCTCTACCTCCTTTCTGGATGGAGTCGTCAGCAGATAGTGCCATTCCTCCCTGAACCTCGATTTTCTCATCTGGCCGGGCCACTCCGTCCTTCCGAGACTCTGTGGCCGGCTCTCGTTGCCCACTCCCCTGTGGCCCGTTCCTGTCTCTTCCTGTGACCGTAGGACACCACATGTAGCTTTTGTCTCACTCACTTTCCTACTGCTTCTCACCTCCGGGTCTTTGCACATGCCATTCTGTCCGTCTGCGATGCTCTTTCTGCTCCCTCGCCTGGCTACCTTCTTGTCATCTTAGAAAATTTCACTCAGGTGTCACCTCCTCAAGGAAGCCCTCCTTGCTACCCTCTCTCTCCAGGCTGAGATACAGGAGTTGAGAGAGGGACTTAGTGACCTGTGTTGAAATCACAGCTCAGTGGGGCCTTGAATCAGACACTCCTGGTTTTCTATGCTGCTGTCACCTCTGGCTGCATGGACTTGGGAGTGATAATAGTCCGTCCCTCCCAGAGATGGTGTGAGGATTAAATGAGATAAAGTGTCTGGTAGACAGTAGATGTTCCGTGAATTGCGATGAGTATGACTGTTCTTGGAGGGAGGATTTTCAAGGAAGTCTCTGGTACCTGAGAGCCCCTGCTGCCCAGATGGGGCTCAGCCAGTGGGTTGTCCAGCCACAGTGGAGGTTGCCCCAAGGCAAACTCCCTGGGAAGCGAGAAAGGTGCCCTGGGAGGGACTGAGGAGAGAAATGGGTCAAACAGGGCCCTAGGAGGGG